CCCAGTTTCGATGGACAACAGAAGTAGTTGGTGCAACTGATGGCTGGCGGGAGGCAGAAAGGTTGAATTGCGAATACTAAAGTAATGAATAAACAGTGCGTCTACAAAGGTTTAGGACTGAATTCGTTACGAGGTACGAAGAAAAATTTTTTTCTTTGTTTTAGTCTTTTTGAGCGTAATCCTTCTACATTTTGGTGCGGTCATAGAATTTCTAGATTGCTTCGTAGAAGCCAACGCATAAAACTCCATTCGTCCCTTTCTTACAATTTTCTGAAATGCTGTTCAGTGATCTTTAATGCGCGATTAAGAAACAGTATATAACTAGAAAGTGCACACGGACTGTTTTGTTTGCAATAAATTGCTTACCACCTTGCGCAAAGAAAATTTTCTTGCTACTAACTGTTCAGTTACTAAATCCACCCGGACAGGCGTAGGCTGCCTCAAATCAAATAATAATCACATTCAAATTTCTTCCCGTAAATGCCTATTAATTAATGCAAGTTGAAATGTTTTAGAAACCACAACTGCAAGTTATTGTTTTGCTGCTTCACTACGATTGGCTTAAAATAACTCATTCCTAAAATTTTGTCGAAGCCCCGTCTAAGTAGTATATTTCACATTTATTGCATTGTAAATAGCAACGAATATCTTGTAATATGTGCCAAAAACTTAAAATAGTTGAATTATCGCTTTGCTTTCAATTTCATGGTGTATAAAACTGGTAATATGATATAACCTTGAACTGTGTTGAAATAACTAGAATGCTATTACGAAAGCAAAAAGCTGAAATAATAAATAGGGTATTCCATCTCAACAAGCAAGAGAAAAAGAATTCCTTTTCTTGCTTTTTATAAAATGTGCAGCCGTTTAACAAAAAACTAGATTCAGCGAAAGACTAACACGAAGCTTTAAATGGCGGTCATTTTCAAGTAGTGGGCTTGGATAGAAAGCAATAAATCTGGAAAAAGGAACATCGCAAGAACACGTTTGATATCATCCTCTGAATTCTTCATGCGCAGGTGGCGGATTACGCATAATGTGGAAATATTGCACGAATTCTTTACTTAGGTATGTAAGCACGTTTCATCGTTTGCAATTCTGAAGTGTCGTAACAGAATTTTGAACGGACGTAGCTGAAAATGGCCATATAAAGCTTTTAGATGATTCTTCTAACTCATTCCCCAGAAAATATTACAAAGCAAGAATGCGCAATAACTTTTTCTAAGTAAGCTTCGAAGGCCTCTTTCCCCCAGTGTACTTTATTCCTTTGTATAAAAAAAGGAATTATTTTTTAAAGGAAGTTTTTCGCCCCCCCCCTTTTCCCTATAATAAATAAAAAAAAAGGTTTATAATATAAATATTGATACTAGCATTAACTTTGCCTGTTAGGTATGAAATTAGAAAAATATAGGAAATTCTGTTTATTCATTTTAGTGGATATAAAAATTCGCAAACTGCCTGAAAGAGAAAATGAATTAAAAAAACACATCTCTTGAAATTCCAGAATTTCATAAAATAAATAATCATTAGAGAATGGTTTATTCCGAGAACTAGGTGTTTGGAATATTTTTACTAAAATATTTTGAGTGAATTCTTTTGCACGCAAGTTTTATTATTATTCTCATAATTCTTTGAGAATGTGCTTAATTCGGTAGAAGGAAATTTATTTTCGTGTTAACACTTTTGAAACAATTTAACACTTTTGAAAATAGATTTCTCAATTCTGAAATTTCTATTGTACAAGCACTTCCATGCAATCACCGAGCAATTCAGCTGTTAGTAGCACCAGTTCAGCGCTTCTAGGTGACTCTCGATTAAAAACGAGGATGGAGAAGAACTTCAGAGACAGAAGTAATATCATATGGATCCATCTTTTTTATCATAAAATAATAACACAATCTCTTTCATCAGGTTATTTCGAAAATTCTCCAGTTCGAAATCAAAAGAGGCATTTTTAGCCCAGAGGGCGTTAGCCCAGGAGGGCTATTAATTTCGTTTTGGCATTTTGCGTTGGTTCATTATAAATTTCGGTTCACTTTTCAGATTTTCGCCACCAAATATTAGAGCCCCGCATTATATTTAAAGAAATTTAGTAATGAAGAATATGCATGAATGTATGTATGTTTCTCGCACTGCAGGAAAACAACGGTACCTAGCGACATCAAATTTTCAATAAGTTGTCCTCCACTAGAATATGGAGATCAGGAACCCCGAACTTGGAATTTGTTTTATTATTTATTTCATATTTTGTAAAACTTTAATGAGTTTTTGATTAAGCAACTCAACGGAGCAATGGCAACACTGTGCGAAGAAAAAAAAACATTTTTAACTCCAGCGTGCGACACTGTGAATCGGAAATTCTAAAGATATGCTCATTTGAAAATTATTTTGCGATACTGCTGTTGAATTGAACTTTATGGTTTAAGTGCGAAGAACATGATATTTAATAAATAAATGTAGCACACAAAATGTTTAAAAAAAAAAAAAAAAAAAATGCTCCTTTGGGCGTCATATAAAATCTGAAAGCTTTCTGAAAAATCTGAAAGTGGCCGAACCTATCGTTCACTTAGCCAAGATGTTATCTAAGATGCACCGTAACGAATGAACTGAAATTTGGTCCCTGTGGGGGGAAAAGGACACATGCAAACAACCTAGTTTTACACGAGATTTAAATGTGCACCATGGAATGGAATTTCAATCAGCCTTTGCGACGTAAGCATAAAATTAGCGGAATTTTTAAATAAATTCTTTTATATCCTGAATAAGTTCTTTTATATCAGCTAACTATCGAGATTTTAAATTATGCTGTTTTATACCAATTCTTATCACGCCAGGGGATTCAAACAGCCGAACATTTCCTTCTCTAGCATTCGTCGGGAATGGCCGCACTCGTCGGTCATTTAGCCTTTTCATCGTCCCAGAGCGGTGCTCAGGATTCACGATGGGGGTAGAACACATGCTAACAACCAAGATCAGCTTCCGCTAGATTCTATATCGCCCATATAGAATACTTCCAACCCATATGGTTAAAATTTATATAAAATATTTACATGGCTTACACATTTCATTTATTCGTAAACAATGCACGGAATTTATTGTTTTCAGTATTCGTAAAAGTTAAAAACAATATTGTTGTTATTTCACTTGCAGAAAATATCTGCTGCAAGCATCGTCCGCGAGTCATCTAACAAAAAATGCAGAACTGGCGATCTGAATAATTAAATTTTATTTGATCAGGAATTATTTTATGCTGAAAAAGTATCATAGCTAATTTTTTTCACCGACTCCTCCACCGATTGGCATTGCTATTTTGAATAATTTGCTTTAAATATATGATTTTATTTTCTGCATCTTGAATTTCTGAATATTCTTCAATTAGTAGATTCGTCGTAACTATTTAGCTTAAAACTACCTGACGCAGGAATCTGTAATTTGAATATATGTAGGTTCATCCAAAAGTTTCTGGCCTGACGTACTTCTAAAAAAATATTAAAATTTTGATAGTTTATCTTTCAATATAGGCTCTCTGTGTTTCGATACATTTTTCACATATCTTGCCCCTGAAAATTTAATCTCAACATGTGTCTTAAAAATGTTGCATAGCTGCTGTTTTCAAATCATTATTTAATCTCTTCTCTCGAAGGTCAGATTTCAGTACGGAGAATCACTTAAAGTTAGATCAAAGTTGTAAGGAAAGTGTTCAAGCTCCTTAACTTTACTTTTTTTTTTTTTTTTTGTTGCTTCTTTTGCAGCGACAGTTGAGTACACAAGAGCATTATCATGGAGAAAATGAAGACTCCGCGGCTCAACATTCCATGTCTTTTCTGTTTTATTTATTGCGTAAATTCTGCAAAAGCTAGCCTAATGTTTCCTATTAATGACCGTGTTCCTCGAAAGTCTTATCAGGAGATCTCTTGACAGTCCAAAAATTGTGGCCGTTATCTTTTTCAATGATTTCTGCACCCTTGCTTGGTTGTACTTCATCTGTTTTCCTCCATTCTATTGATTTCCTCTCCAATAGAAAAATCTTATTACAGTACCATCGTTTCATTCCATTTACCATCATCGATTGTAAAAATTGCCTTTAATTTGTATTGTAAAATTGCAGCAACCGCTCACAAATGACTCGTTGCAGTTTCCGAATTGCTGAAAAATCGTGCAAAGTCGAAATACCCAGTTCGCGCAGACACACTTGTTCAGTTGAAGAAATGTATATAGAAGATGCTATCTTTTTGACTTTTAGTCCCCTGTCACTCTGTAATTCCTTGCTGCCCATATGCAATATTTTCTGATGTTTTCTGATGTGCCTCAAATGATCATCTGTTGATTCTCGGCCTGTTTGCAATTGTTTTACTCGTGCTTTCACAGTAGAATAGAAAGGACAGAATCACCATACATATGATCCAAGTGTTGCTTTATTTCTTTGAAATGAAGACTTTTTCTTTGAAATTAAGATTTAGTAATTTAATTACAATCAGTACTCAGTTTAAGGCACTTCAAACAAATCAGCATGTTACTTCATTCAGTAAGAACAATTGACGAAACTTTCAGATTTTTTCATTTAGTACTGTTATTATATGTCTGCAAGAAGAATTTATTATTAAATGATTTTTTATAGGTAAGTCGGAAAACCTTTGGATCTACCAACATAAAAATCAAATAGTACTTTAAAAAATCATATTTTTTAAATATTTTTTGCAGATTGTTCTTTTACTTATTAAACTAGAATATAAAGTTTTCAGTCGTTAATTTTTTAGTTCTTGCCCATATTTAAGTCTGGCATGACAAGTAGTTAAAAACAATTTGTTATCTCTTTATTAGGTACTGTAAACAGTCGAGACGTATTATTGATTAAAAATGCGCTGATGTTTCTTTTGTATATTGCCTTTGATATTTGTATTCGCAAATAAATGTTTTATCTCAGGTTTCTTTTTTTTTTTTTTTTTTTCCCCCTCTGTTACAGTATATTACATGTGTATTCTTTTCTGTTTTTTCTGCAGATCAAGTTCTCAACGATTATATTCTTCACTTCGAGCCCGTATTTTATGACCAATACTTCCTCAGAGACCAACATCGTCGTTCCATCCGTTCCCCTATGGACCGATATTTCACTCTTCAGTTCACAGCTTTTAAGAGGTTTGTTCTGTTACCTTAATTTTCTTGTTACGAAGCATGTGTTATTTTGCATTATTCTGGTTTCTCTGTAGCTAGAAATTGTTAATGATATCCTATTTTATAGTTAATAGAACCTGCAATCTTACTTATATTATTTGATAGGCAGTGTAAAACAGCGAAAATTAACTTTAAGTAACAGCTCTAGCTTTCAGATTTTTTTAATATTTGTTGAAAAGTGAATAAAGAATTTCTTAACCAAAGTAACCATTATAATGATATAATGTATTTAATTAAGGCAAAGCATGTTAGGGTTATCTAATAAGACAGGTATGCCATTGTGAAGCCCTTTTTAAGGAAATTACCGCTTTTTCACGTCACACATATAACTAGTACAGGTCTTGGCATTTATTATTCACTTTTATTAATGAAGAATGTAGAATTTATATTCTTTTAATAAAATTAATTGATTTTCATAAAATAAAATAGACTTTTAAAATTTTTAGTTTTTCAAGCTGTCAAATTGTATGTTGAAATATCAGGAAGTGTTCACTGACACATCTGAAGCATAGCTACATAAAATGGAATATAGTTTCCTGAATAGTGAGTCATGTTCAAAAAATGAATGAGTGCGTCGATTTATTCTAGCGCAGACTTCTTTATTGGCTTACCTGTTCCATCTTCAGGTGAAAATAAACTTGCTTTTTGACGTCAGAACGTCTTTGCAGGAAGGTATAAACGTAGCATCTGCGTGCAGCGTAGAAGCAATAATGCTTTTACATATATTAAAAGTGGGAAACTAGAAACATAAAAAATATATCAGAATGCCCCATAGAGTCTAGACTGTGACTTTACAATCATTTTATTTTAACGAATAAAATCCAAGATAGCTGTGGCTGTGTAGAAATGGGCTCTGAAACCAAGTGTTTGGGGCTGAATTTCTGAAACTGTTCTTGATGTAGTAGAGATTAGAAATGGTGTATTCTGAAACTTACAGCTTTTCCAAAAGTTCTGGCCAAATATTCATAGTCCATATATTAGGTTTAATAAACACTGCTCTTCTATATACAATTAAAAATATGGGAGAGGGAGAGAAGTAGTCTTATATAAATTTGTAGAATAGCCGGTAATCGGCGAGATTGTATAAGACCTGATATCTCTAAAATATTCGAACGTGAGGTCTTAAATGAGAGACTGGATGATGTTATCTTTTTCAAGATAATCTTTACAAAATCACTTCATATCTTAAATTATAAAATTGTTGTGAAAAAAGATGAGTTAGGAATGTTATAGAAATATAACTGATTTTCAAAATTTTTGTCTGTTTCAGTTATTTCAGTTTTTGACTTATTTTTATGCCTGCCCTCTCTGTATTTCTCTAATTGTTTCAGTTCCAGTCAAGGAAATTTCTGTGTTTTGAAGCTCTGAAAGTTTTAAGAATGTTTTCTTCATTAATAAAGCTACCATGACATAGCACAGCCAATTTTTTAAAGTTTGAAAATTATAAGTCAAAAATTTAGTTCTAGGGATTCACGTATTGGCGATAAAATAAATGCCTTGCCTATTTTATTACCATCGCTATCATTGCTTAGAATTTGCAATTAATATATCTGCTTTCTACTTGTGAAAGAACTTTGAAAAGACTATAAACTGAATTTTGATAATGAAAAAAGAGATAAAATTGTTTCTTTTGGAGGATTGGTAACTTATTCTATTCATAATTTTTGAAAGGTTTTTTTTTGGGGGGGGGGTTGTTTGTTTGATCGATTTCAAAGTACCCTAGGGGTATCTGTCTACGGAAAGGGATATGTTCACATTTCATATGGGGAAAACGACAACAACGCCGATGAAGCCGGCATTTGAACTCGAGTCGAACTATACTACTATTTAACGATCTTATCTATTCGGCTACTAATGAGTTCTTGAATTTTTGAGTGGGTTGGATTATTGGAATTTCCGCACGAGTGGTATCTACGTAAGGGAATGGGTGCCTTCGTTAAGAATTCGTCCTGTTCTGAGAAAAACTACCGCGTGTCTACATTATACACATGCGGCAATTCCCATGAAGCCAGCGCTTTTGCCAGATTTTGAAGTCTGATCGAAATACTAATATTCAGTGACTTTGCCGCTCAGCCGCTGGTGTGTCCGTTAATTTTGGAAGTAATATTCTTATCATTTAAGTATGAATGAACACATGATAGTGATTCTATGCATTGGCTTGAAGTGGATTAATTAGTGTGAAAAAATATGTTAGAACTCTCTGCCATATAATATCTAGCTTTGTTTGGGGTTGTTATGTGAAAGATGAAGGGGTATCCCTGTGGAGACACGCAATCGTGAAAATGCTAGTTAACGTGATAATTATAGTGGTTAGTGATAAATCATAGTGGTTTGTGATAAATCGCAGTAGTAAGGAATAGACTGCAGCCTGAGGAGTAGATCCGTAGCTATTTATTAAGGCATAATAGTTGCCCATTGTTAAAATCACTGAACTGTCAGGTCATTCCGAGCTAATCCTCCGAGCGAATAGGACACACTTTGGTTTTCTGCTTATTTTCGTACTGTACTGACCTAGTCCTGTAGGCGGTCAGTGACTTTTTTTCTGAGTTTCTGAGGCATTTTGTGTACTTTGGGTGTCACTGAAAATTATGTTTTTTTATAGGACACTTAACACCGATCAGGATATAAGTGAATTTTCGGACTCTGAACAATCTACTATTTCACTTCCAGCTACTTCCAAAACGAGATGAATTTCTGAAAGATCCCCGACTCCAGAAAAAAAGGCAAAGGAAAAAATAAGAAAACAATATCTGAGAATGAGGCGAAAGATGCTAAAAAAATTCGAGAATCGGAATTACGTAGATTTATCAAGGAACGTGGAGCTGATTATGCGATGAGACACATAGAACTCACTAAAAGAATAGCGGCTGCGAAGACCCCTGAAGAAAAAGAAGCAATCGCGATGAACTTCGCTACGGAAACTGCTGAATATCTTATTAAGCAACGTACGGACCAAGCTACCAGTAATCCCGATACGGAAGGAGAATGGACCATACCTAAGAAAACTGCTCAAATTCAGGAAAACATTGAACCGATGGTAATCCCTCGAGAAAACCGTTTCCAGCTACTTCGAAAAATTACTGAACAGAATCCTGAAGGGGGTGCCAATGCAGAAACCCCTCCCCCGCCCATTGTATTCTGTCATGAAGAAAGCGATTGGATGATGTTAGACGAAATGTTCAAGAAGTACTGTTCTGAGCCCCACGAAAGCCAGATGAGAGCGAAATCTATTTTTGTCTTAACGAAAAACCTGAACAGTTATAGTAAAATGCTCTTGCTGGATAAGAAAATACCATTTCACTCATATCAATATGATTGTGAAAATCCGTTACGAGTTATACTAAAGAACCTCCCCGCCTCTGTAATGGAAGAAGCTATCTACCAAGACCTTGAACGTATGAAGTATCCCATCACGAAAGTCAAGCAATTCACCAGAAAGGACAAGTTACTAAATTGTCAATGCTCCTGCTTGAACTGAAGAAAAACAACGAAGAAAACATGATACATCAACTAAACAACATGTTTAGTTTGAACGTGGTAATTGAAAAATTCATTCTCGAGAAGAAGACCAGTTCAATGGTTTTGCTGTCAACAGTTTGTCCATTCCCAGTTCTGTTGCAAGAACCCCGTGAGATGCGTGAAATGTGGGAATCAACACCGTAGCAATCAGTGCACTATGAAACCGGAAGATAAACCGAAATGTATTTTTTGTAGGCAAAACCACGTTAACAGCCACAGAGGGTGTAGTGAATATAAGAAAAAATTCGAGAAAAAAAATTTCCGACCCCAACCTAAAGCCCCTGAATTTAACAGAAGAAAATTTCCCCAGCACAAAAATAGCTCTCAAACCAGTTCAGAAAAACATACCTTAAGTCACGTACAACGAAAAACTTAAAGGAAAAATTACCCCCCCCCAACCTGAAGACATAAACGAAGCAGTAGCCTGGCTTAGCACATTTACCGACCGGTAGCCTATTAATCGGCTTTTTATCGCCAACATCTACCACCCGATCGCCTATTAATCGGCTTTTTTTTTCGCCAACGCTTATCGACCAATAGCCTATTAATCGCTTTTTTCTTGGGGCTACCTAAAAATAGCCTATCAATCGGTAGCCATGGCGATAAACAATTGCCATTTGCTATATCATCTGCATTTTATTATTAGTATTGAGCTTCGTAAACTCCCACATTTTCACACCGTTTTTAAAAAAAAATTACCGTTCACGATGAGCGAAAAAAATGGTACTGGAAAGTTTTATTTAGACGATTTATCAGATTGTCCTGACAGAATTAGAACATGAAGAATCTGCGGCTGAGCCACCGGTCGGACGTGCGTATGCTGTTGAACCGCTAGCGGTCGGTAAAGTGTTAAAGACGAAAAAATTAATGCGTTCCTGGCCTCTATCATCTCCTTCATAAGAAAAATTAAATAAAATTTCATAAGAAAAACTTCAAACTGGCTTCCAGGCATCAATGCTACTCATCCAATTTGCAAAATCTGAAAATTAAGTGAAGTTTTGCATGCGATCCAAGACGGACCAATAGCGATGCAGATAGTGCGTAGCAGCAAAACTCTCAGTCTCCCTACAAAATAATTCTTTCTCTTTTAGATCATCAGCAGCCAACTGACTTCTTACTTCGGAATAGCTTCGTTTGTTTATGCGAAAACTCATCCTCACGCATCAAGAATTTTTAATTCTCACTCAACATCCCACTACGTTATGGCAGGAAAGATATGCTTTTTCTTCACGCATTACATATAGGATGCGGCTTCGGCCCAAGCGCCTATTACCATGTGTGTTTAGCACCTGAGTCTTAACTCTCAGGTGAGGGCTTAAAACTGCGAATGGATGAAGATTAATTTTTAATCCTGTAATAAAATGTAGACAAATTTATTGTAAAATTAAATCCTTTTTGAATGAAGTGCAGTTACCACAGATCCGAAAGAATGCCCTTTTGAACGA